TTATTGTCAATTGACGAAGGAACTGAGCCGCACAAACCAACGTTCATCATTCTCCTCTCAAAGGGTCATTCGACAGTGGAACCCCTTGCCAGAGTTTGTTATGCATTCACCCACTGTGAACGTGTTCAGGAGACGTCTGGATAAGCATATGTTAAACGTCAATTCAAAATCTCAAACACTCACCTAACAGAAATGACAAAAACAAACATACTGCTCGATTGATTTCATTACAGCTTGTATTTACACTAAAAATTGTCCAAATGAATATTTCATAGTAAAAATGCAGTGCACGTTTTGTACGGTGCTATTCTGCAAACGCTTCACCTTGTCAACTATTCATGATTCAAACATATTTATATGCACTTTTACATAACAAAAGCGATCTGTAACAATTTTTGCATATAACACTACACTTTATGCTTTCCTGTACCGTTTCAATGAAGTTTTTAAGGGCTTCGGTCATTTACTCCAAATATACCGACTGCAATAACCTCATCGCCTCTCCCGCACCCGGGCAAACAACCCCAAAAGAGCCCCTTTTACACTTTCAGGTGATGGCAATCCTCTACGGCTCCTCCACGGTAGTGAACTACTTTGGAACATTTAATCTGCCCGGAACCTTCACGGTAACAGCCATCCTGAGGGAACGGAGAGACGATGCTCTTGGAGCGGAGCTGCTGAGGACGGCCACGGTATTAGTCATTAAAAAACTTGAGGGGGTACACGTTTTGCAGGAGGGGTTCACTGCCAAAATGGAGGCGAATATTACTCTCAGTGCACACTCTGGTAAACAGTAATGTGTTTATATCTATTTTATCCCCCTCTCCCAGGTGTGTGTGTGTTAAATTGCTAAGTCCCCAATCAATTGGTCATGGGGTGCGCCTGTTTGGGTTTTCGTTCCCAGCTGCTTGTCAGGGTATATATATATATTGCCGATAGAAGCAAAGATGCAAGTCCCTGGGCATAAATGAGAAGGAAGAGCGATCTCGGGAACCATAATCGTAATTTCCTGACGTTTCAAAAACAGACAAGTTTCCGTCGTCGGAGGTAAGT